TCAGTCCTCATAAAGTCCATTTATTTGGTATTCAAGATGAAGCAGTAAGGGAACAAATTAATTATGTTCTTGATGAAAATGAAATTATTGATTATGAAAATTTGGTCGGTTTAATTGGTCAACTTAAGTTTCGTCAATTTCGTCAAATGCGACGAAATTAACAATGGTTTGACGAAATAATTCCCCGCCCTGCAAAATATTTCGTCAACCATTCTTATTATAAACGTAAGGCTGTTAAACAAGTTTCTTAAATTATTTTGTAATTAGTCAAATAAATGTAGACGATTGAAATAAAAGGAGCTTTATAGATCTCAAAATAAAGTAAAGTGCTTTTATTTCGAGGCTCTTTATTTATTTACATTTATCTGATACCATTAAATGTGCTTACAGATTCGCCAAAGCTTTCTAGGGATAAAAAGAGACAGTAAGCGAGAGCCAAATTAAACTCGTAAATTATTGAATTGACAAGCATTGAATTATCATGAATTCCTTATCCCAAAATTTAAGCCATAATCGGCTATCATCGGCATTAACAAAAAGGCTACCTTATACAGAATTGTTGTCAGCTTGTGAACAAAAGCAGGGAAAATACAGTGTGTTCTTATTTATCACTCATGTTTATTTCAAATAAAGGGTCTCTCCAATTAATTGCAGATAAATTGCGGTTCTCATATTTAGCGAACATTATCAGTAATTTCTTATTAAAAGTATTTGACAATCATTCTAAATGTGTTATAGGAATTACAAATTTTGTTGTTTCCTATTCCTTTTGATAATGTAATTAGAATAAGGAACAGGAACGGAACTGCACAACGTTTTGTGATACGAAAGAACTTTCACCATTGAATTGAAATCAACGAAATTTATCACGTGCGAAATTTTTAACCTGAAAGAAGCAATTCATGCCTTATACTATATAAATTTAACCAGTCCCTACTAAAAGCGAAATTTATCCCATAATTAAGAAAAATCTGATTCACAAAGATTTCACAATGAAAGCATTGAGCATAACAACTGTCTCAGGTAAACAAATCGGACTTAATCTATGTTAAACAGTAAATATTTGTAAAATGCTCCATATTAGTTAGATGAAAAAGTCGATTTTTTTGATAAAATGGTACATATAATTATCGTTAGATTTGTTTT